GTCATTTTGTTATTATAAGGAATATTTATTTATTCAGGTTGTAAGCAGCTGTTCAGAAATCATTGAAATAAGGTGTATTTAAGAAATAGGTTTGCATTTATTTTTCGACAAACAATTTAACATTAAAAACAATTTTGGTAATTCCTTTATTCTTCATATTCTAGAGAGAGAAAAAAAATTAACCTCATTCGAATAGAACATTTAACAGGAATAGCTTTTACTTTACATCGTTTATTTTATGGAGTAATTCAACTAGTTGATATATATCAATAGGATTTGACCTACTCGAATATTCACGTTTGTAAAATATAACCTAAATAATTTGTAGAGTTTTGACTTTCATTTCTTTCTTTCTATATAGTTGTGCACTAAATTACCTAATACAAAGATAAGGTTTGTCAGTAATCTATACATAAAGAAGATAATCTCTTAAAAAATCAGTGATGTGTGTGGCACTTTGTGCAGACCTATTATATATATATATATATATTCACAGAGATCAATTTCCATGCACAACATACATGCAAATCATGTGAACATGAATGAAACAACAAAAACTGAATAATGTAATAGGATTAAAAAAATTTATAACTCCTATTGGTTCATTATTCCACATAATTTACGCGTTAAGTGATAATTAATAAAAAGAGGTTAAGAAAATAACTAATCGATTAGATAGATGTACGAAGTACCAAGATGTAGTATAAACGTAATTAATTAAAATTAAATATTCAGATTAAAATTTGGATCATTAGAAATTTTTAATAGTCATGAGAATATTTACTGAATAAGTAAATGAATCAGTAATTTATGATTATTACGAACAATTGAAATGAACCACAGTAATTGTGTGCGAGCTAGAAAACTATTATGAACTCTAGCCTAAAATAGGCTGTGTTACCCTGCAAATACATCGAAGAAGTTTGTGTTTGAAGTTTGTGCTGATGATGTCGTTCAGAAGAACAATGAAAGCTCCACGACTAAAACATCCAGCTCAGAGAACAAAACTTCATCGAAATTATCCACCTGATCTACAAATATTCTCCACCATCTCAATATAGTAAATTCTAGCAATTTTCCGTTCAAATAGTAAGCGATGGATTCATAATAGAATGTCATGTTTATTAAAAGTTTCGTTTCAAGCCCTAATATTTGAAATATTACCCTATGCCCACCAGCATGTGGATATGTGCTACTCTAGACAAACAGATAATTCCATCCTTGAGATCTGTGAACCGGCTTTCAAATGTTTAACGTAGTAGTTGAAAGATAAGTGATTCAATCACTGGTCTGTAGCTCCACAGGGGGCAAATAGGATTCTGCGTTATTAGCAGTACACACTAATTAGAATTAAAAATGCAAAAACTTATTTGGCTATGTAACACCTTAATATGATGTGCAGTTATAATCCAATGGTTCACATTGTTACCCAATGACTTCAGGTGTAAGACTGTACAGTTTCAAAACTGAGTGTGAATTAAGATATTGATTACTACTGTAAGTTCGAAGTATAGTTGAAAGCGTATTGTAATTTTTATCTGAGTATAATATATGATAGATATTTTATCTTATGATCTCTCTATATGTAGCATCATTGTGCAGAAATAAAGATCCGTAAAACAGTTCATATGGTAGTTGTTCCTTTAAACGTCACGAAAGTGAACTTATCTTTACAACAAAGTAAGTACGAAGAAACAATGAATTCTCGGAATCCGAATACATAGACAAGCTTCTATCATAGTATGAAAACAAAAATGATGTGATTACATCAACCATCATATAGTAAACATTGTCCACTAAGCCAACCACATTCACTTACTTTCGTGACTAACAATTTCTTTAATCAATCGTTAACAAATCCGTTGCATTCATTACATACTCGTCTTTATGATCTGTACATTCACAAAAGTCCAACTAAACATACCGGAAGAGAACAAACAACATGACAAGTATGAACTTCCTACAATCATAATTACAATCACACCAAAGCCACCATCATCGCCATCACCATCACCACAATTATTCACGTTAATATTGTTATTATGTATTAACGCAAAACCATTACATGAAACCGATTATCGTAACTACGATAATGATAATAATAACAATAATAACATCGATCAGCGTCTCAATAATAATAACTTCGTTAGACAATAGACTTCACTTGTTTCTACAATCGGGTATTTATATTCTTCCTAGAATATGAGAAGTTATCTATATCATAAAATAACATTTTTTTCACATTCACCAAGTTTATAATTGATCGTTTTATTATTCCAAGGAAAATGAATACGTAAACATCACGTATTACCAGATAACCTTTGCTTTTTATACTCTTCACGATTTGGAAAATTGAATTAAGTAGCGGTAGACCACTGAATAAGATTTTCATTCAGTGTGGTGGACGTTCACCATTTATCGCCATGCATCTCCTTATACTGTGATAAGATATCAATATTGAAAGAATGAATTACATTTTGTGCATCGAAGTTTCTCATGAGGTGCAAACATTTAGCATAGAATATTTAGTTTAAGACAATCTTTGGAAAGACAAAGCTACTTTAATTATTTCATTAATTTTCAGTTACTTTCAACATTATTCCTTTTTACTGTTTATCTTACAAACTAAATACACGACAACATCAAATCTTCACCAACTATGTTGATAGAACCAAACTCGAGACCTTCAGGCCCCACATTGGGCGCTCAATTTATAAACCACGTAGTTAGATTGAGAATTTAGAGAAGCAAATTTTTGTTAAGCTTTTATATATTACTACTTGTTATCACCAGGAAAAATAGTTTCTTGTGATGAATAATTGCATTTTAAATATAGATTTCAAGTAAATTGTAGAAGGAAGCCAAACCATGGAAGAAAATAAAGTCTAGTAAAGCCGAAGTGTATAATATTAAATTATCTATTGAGCAGTATTATTATTTTTATATAGAAATTCAGAAATCATTTTATTATCTAGTTTAAAAACACTAAAAAACCAGTGTTAAAGTTACATCTACGTCTACAAAAACCTTCATTGAAATTATCTATTAAAGGTCAACTCTGGTTTCACAATACCGTTTGTTTCAATTGTTAAGAACTAATTAGACTGGTGATAAGAAAAACAATTATCGATTAAAAATCAATAAAGCTTGCTGTTTTCAATATGCATTCTAAGATCTAAATACGAAAAGCGCATGGAATCCTTCCATACTTAGAATATGCCGATCTCTTTGTTACTCATTACACTACTTTGATTTACTGCGTCTCATGTGTAAAAATTATGAGCTTTAAGCTGATGAGAAAATTAAGAAAAGACATTTGTGGTGGATATGGCACATTGAGAAAATCATCAAACTGCATCACGAGGTAAACCCTAGATTGGGATCTCCAAGGCAAAAGAAAAAGAAGCAGACTGAAGAACACATTGTGCTGGGAATTAGAGGCAGACATCAAAAGAGTGAATAAAACTTGGAAACAGATGGAATGGAGAGCTCAAGACAGAGTTAGCTGAAGAAACCTAGTCGGTGACACATGGTCCCCGAGAGTTAACAGGAATATCTAAAAAGTAATTTGTAAAAATTAACTCCGCCTGGAGCCCCTCCGGGGGCTACTGCCGGTCCAAAGCCCGGATAAAGGAGGAGGGTTGGGCATGAGGTTAGCGACCCCATCCCGTAGAAAACTAACTCGTTAAAAAACGCTAACCAGAAAAAATTATTCAAACCATTTAAACTCTGCCCTGGGAGGCAGAAGGTCTTTGTTTAGAATAATTATGACGCCTCATGATAAAAGCCGAGTTCCTTCGGAAGTAACGAGGCCGATGCCCCTTCTGACAACCAGAGCAACCATTTATTTAGGTACATGGAATACTCCTACAATGTGGGAAACTGGGAGAGTTTTCCAAATTGCTGCAGAAATGAGGAGATACAACATAGAGGTGCTTGGGATCAGTGAAACACATTAGACACAAGTTTGACAAAAACGACTAGCATCAGGGGATGAAAAAGAAAATGCCCCACATGCACAAGGAGTTGCATTGATGCTGTCCAAACAAGCACAAAATGCACTTATAGGATGGGAATCTCATGGACCAAGGATCATCAAAGCCTCCTTCAAAACAAAGAAAGAGGGCATTACAATGAACGTCATCCAATGCTACGCGCCTACCAACGACTACAATGAAGATGCTAAAGATTAATTCTATGATAGGCTGCAGTCATTCGTTGAGAAGTCCTCAACAAAGAACCTGACCATTCTGATGGGAGATTTAAATGCCAAAGTTGGAATGGACAACATCGTATATGAAGAGATGATGGGACGACACGGACTGAGAGAAAGGAACGAAAATGGTGAGAGATTTGCAAACCTATGTGTCTTCAATAAACTGGTTATAGGCGGCACTATATTCCCACATAAACGCATCCAAAAAATGACGTGGACTTCACCGGATCACACTACGCAAAACCAAATCGACCATATCTGCATTAACAAAAGGTTCAGGAGGACGATGGAGGATGTGAGAACCAAGAAAGGAGCTGATATAGTATCAGATCGCCACTTGCTGGTTGCATAGATGAAATTGAAACTCAAGAAGCACTGGACAACGGGGCGGACAACATCGCAAAAGTTTAATACGGACTTTCTTCGGGATACTAACAAACTCAACGAATTCAAGATAGCCCTCAGCAATAAGTTCCAGGCCTTTCATGATCTACTCAATGGAGAAGGAACTACTATGGAGAGCAACTGGAAAGAGATGAAAGAGGCAATCACTTCAACATGTCATGAGGTTCCGGGCCAAAAGAAGCACCATCACAAGGATTGGATCACGGTTGATACACTGGGTAGGATTCAAGAAAGGAGGAACAAGAAAGCAGCAATCAATAACAGTCGAACAAGAGCAGAAAAAGCCAAGGCACAAGCTGAATACACAGAAGTAAACAAGCAAGTGAAGAAGAGCATCAGAATTGACAAACGTAAATATGTGGAAGATTTAGCAGTGACGGCGGAAAAGGCTGCAAGAGAAGGAAACATGAGACGACTGTATGACACAACAAAGAAACTCTCTGGAAATCACCATAAACCAGAACGACCAGTGAAAAGCAAGGAAGGCAAGGTAATCATCAACATTGAAGAACAACGAAACAGGTGGGTAGAACACTTCAAAGAACTCTTGAATCGACCAGCCCCACTGAACCCACCCAACATCGAAGCAGCACCCACGGACCTCCCAATCGATGTTGACCCACCAAAAATTGAAGAAATCAGACAAATCAAGTGTGGCAAAGCAGCAGGACCAGATAACATTCCAGCAGAGGCACTGAAAGCAGACGTAGCGGTAATTGCAAGGATATTCCACATTCTCTTCAGAAAGATCTGGGATGAGGAACAGGTACCAAAAGACTGGAAAGAAGGACTTTTGGTCAAAATGCCAAAGAAAGGCGATCTCAGCAACTGTGATAGCTACAGGGGAATCACTCTTCTTTCAATACTAGGAAAAGTCTTCAACAGGATATTGTTAAACAGGATGAAGGACTCCGTAGACGCCCAACTTCGCGACCAACAGGCAGGATTCCGTAAAGATAGATCGTGTACAGATCAAATCGCAACTCTACGGATCATTGTAGAACAATCAATTGAATGGAATTCATCACTCTTCATCAACTTCATTGACTACGAAAAAGCATTTGACATCGTGAACAGAACAACCCTGTGGAAGCTTCTTCGATAGTACGGTGTGCCTGAAAAGATAGTCAATATCATACGGAATTCCTATGATGGATTAAACTGCAAAATCGTTCATGGAGGACAGTTGACAAACTCCTTCGAAGTAAAGATCGGTGTCAGGCGAGATTGCTTACTCTCACCCTTTCTCTTTCTCCTGGTGATCGACTGGATCATGAAGACGTCAACATCTGAAGGGGAGCACGGGATACAGTGGACATCTAGGATGTAGTTGGATGATCTAGACTTCGCAGATGATCTGGCTCTTCTATCGCATACACAACAACAAATGCAGGAGAAGACAACCAGTGTAGCAGCAGCCTCAGCAGCAATAGGTCTCAATATACACAAAGGGAAAAGCATGATTTTCCGATACGACACAACATGTACCAATCCAATCACAATTGACGGAGAAGCTTTGGAAGATGTACAAACCTTTACATATTTGGGCAGCATCGTAGATGAACACGGTGGATCTGATGCAGACGTGAAGGCAAGAGCGACATATTTACAACTGAAGAACATCTGGAACTCAAAACAATCGGCAACCAACACCAAAGTTAGAATTTTCAATACAAATGTCAAGACAGTTCTACTGTATGGGGTCTAAACCTGGGAAACCACGAAAACCATCATCCAGAAGATACAGGTGTTTATTAATAGTTGTCTACGCAAAGTTCTTCGGATCCGTTGGCCAGACACTATTAGAAACAACCTACTGTGGGAGAGAACAAATCAGATCCCAGTGGAGGAAGAAATCAGGAATAAGCGCTGGAAGTGGATAGGACACACATTGAGGAAAGCACCGAATTGCGTCACAAGACAAGCCCTTACATGGAATCCTCAAGGCCGAAGGAGGAGAGGAAGACCAAAGAATACATTACTCCGGGAAATTGAGCTAGACATGAGAAAAATGAACAAGAATTGGATGGCACTAGAAAAGAAGGCCCAGGACAGAGTGGGTTGGAGAATGCTGGTCGGCGGCCTATGCTCCATTAGGATTAACAGGCGTAAGTAAGTAAGTAAGTAATTTGTAAAAATTGTAACTGCTACATTTGCCCTCTTTTTTTTAGAAACTATTTACTTTCAAGATGCTGTACAGTCAAGAAAATTATATTTATTCAATAATTAGTTCCGTTGGTAAAGTCTTGTACAGCAGGTATTGTGAGATGAAGTAAATTCAGTTTTTTGCGCGCTTTATACCTTCCACTTACGCACTGATTTGTATAAATAAACAACATGTCTTACAATGTTATGATGTTTGTAACATTCACTTCATCCCACATTGCCTTTTCTTGTTTGATGAAAATCCGAGTTTCCGTAAATGTCTGTAAACTTATTTAATATATGCTAGTGTATAGTAGTTCAGCCATAGATCCTAGTTAAGTGTCGAGTAAACTATCGAATATACCCCCAACTTCGTATGCTGGTATACGCAGTGTGACCGCGACCATCACACTGTTAGTTTTAAATGCCCTAATATTGTCTACTTTTTGTATTTAGTCCAACCGCCTGCAGTTAAACAAATAATAGTTATCAGAAGTTGAATACTTCGAGTACAGAAAGTACATATTCAAAAAGACAACTGATTTATAGCCGTACATAAGAGAGTGACTGTAAATATTGAGCATAATATTGCTATTTGAGCTAAGAATCATTAGTCAGTGTATTTATCGACAACAATGTAGATGAGCAAACAGAGGTAATAAAACTCTAAATAGACTACTTGACTGCAGATTTAAAAAGCAACAATAATATTAAACGAAAGTAAATTATTATATCCCGCATGACATGAATGCAAGCTGTTTGTACTCAATATTTCATCATGTGAAATCCTATTATTGTAATAATAAAAAACCTGATACTTCTTTAAGACGGTAATAAAATGACAGGTATGCAATGATTTTTAATCAAAAGTAGTTCATACACGAAATAATAAAGGTAAGCGGACATTTGGTTAAACAACATTCCATAAATCTTAACTTATTTCCGATTACATCTTTTAGCGTGGTAAAATAGCTAGTAGACATGATCGATAAATGTGAGCAACAACAATGTTTAGCTGATTGTTGATTACTAATGATTTAATACCATCACAAAATTGATAGATTTAACGTACCTGGACATTTTTTGACACAAATGTCATGGAAGTTATATTTGAATTCTGGATTCGCAATAGTTCTACTCTCTTCTCGACTAACTATCAATGGTGGAGGACATTGTGATACACATTTTCCATCATTCATCGCATGTTTGCATGCCTAAGATACCCGAAAATTAGCAAAATAAATATTAAGATAAATTAGGCGAAAATTAATCTTAGTCATAATCTCTACTTTTTTGTTTAGTTAAAGCCCGATTTTTCTCGTTGTATCCTCCATAATGAACAAAATATTTACAATATATAGGATAAGATAACTATTTATCGATGAATACTTCATGGTTTCGTCACGAAAATGGCGAGAAATGGACTGATCATTTAACCTTGATAATATCACAAGATTAATTATATTTAGAGAGAGAGAGAGAGAGAGAAATAACCATCATACATTAGCGGGAAAAATTTCTGAAAGTTGTGAAATACGAATTTTATAATCAATACGTGAAAACGCATTATACCTCGTTTCATTAGATGCTTTCATTACAAGGTGCGTGACCTAAATCACTTGGATATGCCTGAAATACTCATGATAATTTATTTATTCAAAAAATGACCCGTTAAAGCTACTCAGCAATATAGGTTTGTTATAAACGAAATATATAAACCACTGGTTTCATAAATCGTGTTTCAGAGCATCAGCTCATTTTCTAAATGTTATAAAACGTTTAGAGTTTAACATGCGATTTCATAGATGGAATAAAAAATAAAAACTTGTTTTATTATCCTGTTTATTCACATCTCCATCCACTTAACCATTAAACTATAATTTGGAACGTGGATGGATGAAGGCTAGTATACCACGGTGACCTGTGAACAATCGAGTTGACAAATGAGTCAAAATGTAGAATTTAAATCTTGATTCTTCACAAAATTACTTTTGAAGACTTTTCATCGTCTATCTTTTTAGTTAAAAAACGAAGGGAGAGAAAAGTGTATATATATTCCTAACTGTTCTCATATAACTGGTACTGTCAACATTCCTCACACCAATAGAATATCGTATTCATCTCTTCACACATCAGAATCTCAGACAACAGTCTTTTGAGATACTGTATTAATCATATAATTGATCACCCTGCCTATATATAAAAGTTACCATTTTGACTCTACATTACTCAGATATTTCATCATTATTCAATAGATTCTAACTTGAAAGATAAACAAACAGAACACAACGCCATTTAATACTATCACTTATGAATACGTGGAGTAAGTATTACTGCTTCTATGTTTACAGAACTGTAAAGTGCTTACGTTTATAAACGATCAAGTACAAGAAAATATTGAGATACTATATCACCTTAAACGAGAACACTTTTACACTATGATTTTAATAAATTCACATGAGGAGAGAAGACAGATCCTCATGATGCGTCTAAAAATCGGTAAACTTACAACTCTGCAGAACTATCCATCGATTAAAAATAACAATGTTGAAATCTTATTTCAGAGTTTTATTGAGCAGTTTAACACATAAAACAATTTAAACTGTTCGCCAGCATATTAATTCACTTACCTTAATGGTTTCATCAAAATTATTGGAGCATTTCCTTCAGCTCATTCTCGGGCTTTTGTAGTCACGTTAATATATTCTGATAGCGTTCTAGTAAATTACAAATTAAGACCGTGCCCAAATAGCACTTTATGACATTAGCCTCTATTATTTACGTTTAGTCTTATTCATCACAACAGTAAATATAATATCAAATAAATAGAATAGAAGCAAAACATATCATGTAAGAATACATGTAAAACTTTTGTTGTATTTGTTCAAAGGATAGATAACTACATAACTCACTCTACAATTGCCAGGACGAGTTTCGCATCCACCCAAGCATTCTTCCAGACACGGTTGTGTAGTCACTCTACCACCAAGACAATAGTTATCAAGATTGTTAGCGCATTTTAGCACTTTGAAATCGAGAGAAGAAAAAATGCAAACAGAAAGTGGAATAATTATGTATACAATGATGATACAATACACAAAGACAACTGAACAATACAACATGATTAGAGAAATAATCAAACTAATATTAACTACACAATTTTAAGGTAATCTTTGACTGGGTGGAGTTGCTTACGGGGTAGATAGTAAACTAAAGACAAATTATGTTTCGTAAAGACAGAATAGGAGTTAAACCATACGCTTTTTTAAAATGAATTAGTGTTTAAGACGTGAATACACAATACACAATTGACAACGCTGAGCAGTATTAAAGGCTATGGAGTTGATAGGAAAGGTTATGTTACCAAAACTTACATAAGCTTTGGTCAAATTGTTACTTCATGATATACATCATATCAACGGTAAATTGAAAATATTATGTTGCAAAGAGTTCCTTCCGAGCCGCTTGTACCAATGATATTCGTTTCTTAAAGTGATCTTAACTGTTATATTTCACAAAACGTCTTAGTTATATTGAGTGATTTAA